TATTAGCATCCTGATTTTTGAGGTGAGGAAACATACTTGGCTACTATATCAAGTGATGAAGTGTTATTAAGTGGCCATGGTTAAAGACAAATTTTCTGATTCCCCATTTAATGTTATTTGTCCCCATCAGGGAACACTGAAATAGGTGGATAGTTATTCATTCAATAAACATTTATTGAATGGCTACCATGTACCAGGCACAGTGCTGGGCACTGAGGATACAGTAGTGAACAAGACAGGCAGGTCCCTGTGCTCCTGGAGTTACCATTCTAGAGGGAAGAGACGGTCAATAGGCAAGTAAATTATGATAAAGAGGATATATCAGTTAGTGTGATGAAAATAAAACAGGGTCATGTAATAAAGAGTAACTGTGGCAGATAGGGTGATGAAGGAAGTTTTTTCTGAGAAGGAGGCTTTTATGACAAGAAGGGGGGTGAGCTGAAAACCTTTTCCCCTTGGATATGTAGCTGGGATCTGGGAGGGAAGTTCTCATAAAGGGGGAGCTCCCAGGGTCCTGCTCTGGGCCACCACAAACAAGTGGAAGGGGCAGGAGGGAGGGCTGCAAGTTAAAGGTGGCTGAGAGCCTGAAGTCAGAAAGACTTGCTGAATTGGGGGCTTTCTGGAAAGAGGCAGAGGAGCAAAGAAACTTGTGAACAGTGGAAGGGGATTTTTTTTCCTACAGGTATTAAGTTTAAATATATTGAAAAATAAACTTTATTGATCTAATTTAGATAGAATAATGTTAACTAATTTTAAGTGTACAGTTTGATCAGTCTTGAGAAATGTATACACCTATGTTAAATGTATACATATCCCCTATCAAGATACATAGTTAACATTTCCACAACTCTAAAATATTCCCTTCATGACCCTTTGGAATCAATTCTGGTCAGCTATTTTGTAGAATGTCCCTCAATTTAGGTTTATCTGGTAGTTTCTCATGATTAGACTGGGATTATGGGTTTTTGGCAAGAATGCCCTTCTGTTGATATTATATAAGGAGGTACATGATACCAATGTGTCTTTACTGATGGTGTTAAGCTTTATCGCATAATTAAGTTGTTACTGGTGGGCTCATCCATTGTAAAGTTACTCTCTCCCTTTGGTAAGTAATAACTATCTTGGGGGAGATACTTTGAGACTACCCCATAAAGACTTAAATTGGCTTTATATGAAACCTATATGTTGAATTAAAAGTGTTTTATTTTACTTAGTTTTACTAGTTAAGAGCATGGTCTATTTTTCTATTTACCTGTTTTTCTTTTTCTCATTCATGTATTATAGTTGTTTAATAAACATGGATTCTGAATTAATGGGAAGACAGTGTGATAGAATGGAAAAAGCATAGTGTTTGGCATGAGGCGAACCTGGATTTGAATCCCAACTCTCCCACTTACTGATGTATAACTTTTAAAAAAGGCCTTTAAACCTGACCCTCTAATTTCACAGCTGTAAAAAGCAGCTAATAACAAACCATCTCACAAGGTTTTTAAAAGAACTAAAGCACCTGGTAGTGTCTGGCACTCAGTAAGTTCTCTGTAAATGTCATTTCTTGCCTTCCGTAATACATAGGTGTTTAATATTATTGTCACTATGGTAATTAGACTCTCCTCTTTCTGGCTGGGTGGCTCTAGGATACAGAAATTCAATCAATTCTTCCAGACTTTTTTCATGTTCTGACACCACAGACACCTCAGTGCAGTGGAACTGCTGGACTTTTTACATGTCTCTGAGTCAGTGAGGAGAAAGCAGCTGCAACTGTTTTATAGTTGATGGCAAGTTCTTACAGCTCACAAGTAAATTCTATCCTATACCTTTGCAAAGCTCATTCACTACCTCTCATATCTGGGGATTTGATTTTCATGGACGTACAAATATATCATTTGCAAAGGTGGCATTTTTATTTTTATTACTCCTATATTTCTACTTTTTACTTTTCTTCTTCCATTATTAGAACTATTGTAAAGTAGAATTTTAACCGGGGCAATCTTGTATGGTTCCTGTTTTTAACCAGAATTAATCTGAGCTTTCTTTGGAAAGATATACTCTTAAGTTAAGCAAGAGAGAGAACACTGCAATACCCCTATCCTCACCCCTGATTGTTTTTTAAGGTTTAAGTGCAACTTTGCTTTCTCTGTCTTTCATTTCCTTGCTTCAAATCTTATTTCCCCTTTCCTAAACTTGTTTGATTCGTTATTTGTTCCCTCCTGAAGTTCTCTAGACAGGGATTTAATTCATTGTTGTTTTTTTGTACTGATGAAGTCTTTCAGGGCTATACATTCTCTAAGTACTGCCTTGGCAATCTCCCATAAAGTGGTCCTCACATAAAATGTCTTACCAATTTTTCCTTTTACCTTATGCTCCATTATGTTTTGGCCTGGCACTGTTACTAATCCTCTGTATTACAATATTTGACATTTTGATACTCTGCATTAATTTCGATTTCTTAAATGGTACATTAAAGCTATTGATTTTGGGAGTTTGGGATTAGCAGATGCAAACTATTATAGATATAGGATGAATAAACAACAAGGTCCTACTGTATAGCACAGGGAACTATATTCATTATCCTGTGATAAACCATAATGGAAAAGCATATGAAAAAGTATATGTGTATAACAGAGTCACTTTGCTGTACAGCAAAAATTAACACAACATTGTAAATCAACTATACTTCAATTAAAAAAAAACTATTGATTTTGATTACCAAGTTTTTTCTGCTGCCCCCTTAAATTTTGACCCTAAGGAAAATGTCTCTCTTGCCTCACCTCAGCCTAGGCCTGGCCCTGTGGTAACCTCCCAGATGAGTTCTGCTCACAACTTTCTTGTGAAATGGAGGCCTGATGTTCAGAAAGACTAAAATTGTCAGCGATATCAAACCAGTGACACTGCCTGCCAGGAGATAATCCTGTTTTCCTTCTCCTTCTGCTCCTGTCATCCCTTTCCTGTATGTGGGGCTTTCAGCTCAGCAGAAGCCCTTGTCCATTTCTAGCTGCTGGCAGTGGCCACATTGCTAATAGGATGCCTGGGATCACTTCCCCATTTAGAGGGGTGAAAGGTCAGGGTCTCACCCTCCAGGAATAAACCCCAAGGCCTGTTGAGCTCCTCCAGATCCTTGTCAGGGCCCTGTCTGGCCCAAAGCATTCCTTTCTCTGCTGGAGTCTGTCAGTTAGCTCTGGCAAAAATCAAGTTTTACCTCATCCACACAAGTTTCCCTGAGAAATTATGGAAGAGAAACTCTTAGAATCCTCAAATGTCAGAGCTGGAAGGGCCCTTAGAGACCATTTTGCCCCAATGGCCCTCATTTAACAGAACATATAACTTCCTTTGCTCTATTTCCACGTTCCAAAGAATCCCCAAGGCCGCCTCATAATAAAAATCAGGAGTAAGTCAAGAGCCGAGTTAATCAAGGAAGTAAACTACTATGGGACCCAGCTGTGCTCAGGGAGGACTGAGTCATCAGAAATGCAGACCTGGTCCCGGGATTTGTTTATTAAGGATTTTCTTCAAGGACAAAGAGAAGGTTCTGTGGTAGCTTAACTCCAAAGCTTTTCATGGGGTTGGGGTGAGACTAGAAAAGGTTTGATTAGCTTTAGAAGGGCTGGGGAGTTTTAAAATCCTGGCTTTGAAGGAGGCTACCTTTACTTCTCTCTGACTGGTCCAGGCATTGTGGAGAAGTTGTCAAAGTTTGTCTCTATGCTTCTTACCTCCCCCAAAATGTGCCTTTCTGTGTCCCACACTCAGAGGATCTTGCTTTCAGTTTGGAAATATATCAAGGGCACTTGCAACTGTGTTAGGATGGGCTTTGAGAGGTACAACTTCAATCCCATATCTAATCCGTAACAAGATTCTCCGTTTTGCAAAGCATCATTACATCTATTCCTCTAGTTTAACCTCTAAACAGGGAGGGTAATTTTTGTCTACATTTTGCAGATAAAGGAAAAGGCTCAGAGTCTACCTAGGTGACTCTAAGGCCATGCAACTAGTAAGAGGCCAAAGCTTTAACTTTTGAGTCGAGAAGGAAGCCACATCCTGTGCTTGTTCTACTAAGCCACAAGCACCTCAACGGTGCCAAGGAATGCCACAGCAAGCTAGCTAACAGAGGACCACAGGGCTGAAACCACTGTCTTGATCTGATTTGTAATGAGTTATAGCATTGTGATAGACTTCTGAGAAGCATAGAACAAATCTAGGAATTTAGTGCTAGTCTCAAAGGAGACATTGGGATTCACATAAGGTGGCTGTGAAGAATTTACCATTCTGTAGCTTTGTTCTCTGCAAATTTTTCTCCCAGACTGCTGGAAAACAAGGAAATCTCATCAGTTGAAGGAAATGACTTATAAGGAAGCTTTATTATGTGTGGGGGAGGATCAGATCCCATTGTAGTTCTGGATAGTGTTTAGCCATGTGCAGTGAACACTGGGAGTGTATGTGTGTCCGTGGGTAATATACTTTCTTCAGTTTGTTTTTCATCTAAGCTAGTGCATCTACAAACTCTTAAAAGTGATCAAGAAAGCTGCATCCTTGGGATTAGAAGGGGGATTATCAAGTTAACTGTGAAATTCTGGGAGAAACAGGGAGACCACAGGTGGCAAAACTCTAAATAGCTTGTGAACTGAGATTTGGATAAACAGGATGACTTAGGAACTTGGACATGGGTTATATCCCTGTGTCTTGGGTGCTTAGAAAATAACCCAGGGTGAGATCCGGACACAAGTCCAACACTGTATCACCACTCCTTGAAATTGGACACATTCCCCTCCCTTGCCTCGGATATATCTGACCAAGAAAACAATGACACAATTAAAAAAAATTTTTTTATTCACGTTCTTGCCCAGTTTGTTGGACACCCTGTATTTGCACAGTCCAACTGCTCAGATGTATTGGAAAATACAGTCGTGCAGCGTGCAGTTCACTGGCCTGATGGTAGAGGGTGCTCCAGCTGGGATAGAATGCTGCTGGGGGTGGGGAGTAAACGGAGAGGAGAAAGAATTGTTGGCTCACAGGTTAGTGAGCAGCCAGTCTAGCAGTTGTTTTCTAGCCACGTTTCCCACGGCTTCATCCAGTGGTTGTTCCTTGGTGAACTTCATGACCTCTTGAAGAAGATCTCCTACACTGTACCCCTTCTCTGCTGCTTTAGCTAAAACTTCAGGAAGCTGTGGAGAGAGCAGATAGCTTGAGTCACGTGATGCTTTTGGAGCCATGGCTCCGACGGAGAAAGTCTACTATACCCCACCCACCTTCCTGCCTATGATTCTAGGATTAAAGGCTGCCACAGGTCCAGGACTGGAGGCTGCTGACATGGCTTTCCTTTTTTCTGGACCCTCCTCTAATGGCATAGATTAAAATGCCAAAGGTCCTTTCTTTCTGAGCTTCAAAAAACAAACTCTGGAATCAACTGTGTCCACTAATACTTCTCATCAGGTACTGGGATCCTTCAGTTAATCTGTACTGATTTCTAGGTCAAGGTTAGGGGTTGCCATTCCCCTGCCTCCCTAAAAAATAGTACATGAGATTGGAAATAGGATAATTTGGTTCAGTGTTTTATTTCTCTGGAATCCATCTAATGTAGGAAACACAGCTGTGGGGTGTGTGTGTGTGTGTGTGTGTGTGTGCATGCACACGTGTGCAAAACATAAGACTTAAAAATTGCTCCCTGATGTTTTACCATATAGTTTGTTGAAAGGATCACTGACAAAATGAGCTAATCTCACTCTCCTCCTCTTGGAAGTACACAGGACTTGAGTTGTCCAGAGCCCCATGTAACTAATGGTTCATCACTTTTGTGTCTTTATGAGGTGAGAGTAATTCATGAGTCACATGATAAAGAACAGACTCAAAAAAATGGACTGCTTCTTGGGCTCTAAGTACAATACTGCCTCCCTGCCCCTACCCTTTCCAACCCTCTTTCTTCTTGTTCCTTGTTGCATTGCTTACCTTCTTCAGTTGTCCAGCATCATCTCCCATGAAGTAGAGCACGGGTATGTTAAATTATGAGGCTGCAATCCACTGCAGGACAGCCTGGAGCTGCTTTTGCAAGCTACTTGTTGAGCACTGATTATTGACAATGACTTCAGGTCCAGGAGAGTCTTGATAGTTCTGTGACATGGCAGCATCATGACTACATCTGGGGCCACCGGCCTGGTAGTTGGGGTTGTTGGCCAAGGCTGCTTGTTCTTCCAACTCAGCAAGGGCTGGCCCATTGTTGCTATACTTAGCCATGATAAGGCACAGCTTCATCACAGATTCTACCAGTTGATCTATAAATTGTCGGTTCACTTGCTTCATCCCACTGATAAAGTCAAGTTCTTGATTGTCCTGGCATTTTTCTTCCCTTTTGTCAGGCCTCTTGGACATGGAGGCTCCTTTGTCTGTCCTGGGCTCAGAACGTTTGTTCTCACCTTCACCTAGATCTCCACAGTTGAAGGAGCTCTCACTAAGCAGTTTTTGAATCAGTGACAGAACGATGTTTGACATATCCAGCCTCTGGGAGTCCAGGTGTTGATTCTCCTTTAGAGAGGTGGATGATCCAGGTGCTCCACGAGATTCTAGATGTTTCATTGAAAGTGCCTTGACACTTTGGCTACCTCTGCACTTTTTGTATTGGGCACTCTGAGTCATATAGCTGGTGGTAGAACAAGGACAGTCTTTAAATGCATCTTTGCCCTTGGCCTGCTGGGTCAGATAGTATTGGATCAGCCTAAGGGCAGAGACAATCAAGTCCTTTGCCAGTGAATCCATGGAAAGGCTGATCTTCTCTCTCTTTTCCTCCTTATTGGTGCATGCTTTGCCAGCCATCTTGCCTTGATTGCCTTGATTTTGGTTCCACATTGTCAGGCTCTCCTTGAGGGTATGTTCACTGCCTCTCTCAGCACTGGTCAATGATTTGCACTTCTCTGGTTTCATTTTGCCTTTGCCCTTCCCCTTCATCTCGGCCTTCATAGCTGAGAATTCGAGACTTTGGTTCTTGCATTTGGGATCATGGCACCCAGCCTTCAAGGATGCATATGACAAACTCTGAGACTTAGTTTCCTTTTTTTCCCCAAGAAGAGCACAGACAAGACGCTTCAGCATGGCCTCCATGATATCAGTAGTGTTTTGTTTCCCATGGTTGAACATATTCCTCCTGACAGCTGAGACAAAGTCTGAGTTGGCCATCAGGACCCTGGTGATATTATGTAGGTTCTTCACGCAGGAGTCAATCAAGTCGGACACAATTTCCTTGGTGTGTTTTAACAGCACCCTCCTCACGACCACACAAGCTGGAATTGGCTTCCCAGAGCTATGAACTTTCAAGTTCTGCATGAAAGAGACCATCGTGTCAGATGCCACTTGATTTGCATAAACCATGAACATTTTGCTGATCGAATCTGCAAATTCTTTGTTGTCTCTTTGGCACATCTGTTTGTCTACACCTTTGCTCTTGTTGGATAATTCACTATACAGAAAGGTTTTTTGGCCACCTTCCCTACCAGAAGTGATCTTGCTCACAGCACTACGAGGGCTGTTTTTCCCTTTGTCCCCACTTGGTGGATAGATTGAATGATGAAGACATTGGCTTCCACCTTCCAACTTCTCCTTGATTTTCTTACGGGCCATCTGGACCACCAGAGGAGATATTCGGTTGACATAGAAGGAAGGGTCATTCGTAGAACATTCTCCATCAGGGGAGATAACTGCCCTCTGATTGCTAGGAGATTTGGCTGGTGGGGTGAAAGGACTCTGGTTATTGTTGGTGTTTTTGGCCACTGTCATTTCCAGATGTTGGCCTTGAGCTCCTTTGGCCATGTAATCCATTTTCAGTTGATCGGCATAGCCTCTGTAGCAGTTCCCAGTGGGCAGTTTGTGATATTTGCCCTCTGTGTCTCCTACTTTACGTCTACAGCGAGAGGATGAGGGGCTAAGTGCCTGTTGGAAACACAAGGCGTACTTCTGAAGATCACTGAGTAGACGATTGAGGACACTTATAGGATTAGAAGGAGCTTGTTTGAAAAGGCACACTGACCTCTCCATCTAAAGAAAGAAGACCTATCCATAAGGCTTTGGGTAGGCTACTTCTTTCCCCTATTGTATTTAGAAGATATATCTTCTAAGTTGCACGGATTAGGGATTTGGCCTTTAGTATTTGCATGGGTGCATAACACACAATTATATCCATTAATACACGTTCAAGCACAAGTGGCAGCAACAAAAGCTCAGAGTAGACACATTTGTACACTTAACTATACACAAGTGTTATCAATATGTTTGTCAATTTCATCTGAGTGTGTGTGCTTATTTCAATACATGTCAAAAATATGTCAGTGTCTCTGTCGTGTGTGTATATGCACATCAATATATCAATTCATGAGTGGGAACATGTTGTCAGTCTGTACTGTTAGTGTGTGAAAATGTGCCTGTGTGTATGTGTGTGCATATGTGTATGTCAATGCACAATGTGTGATGTCACCGTGTGTAAGCATGTGTCATAATGTGCTGACATCATACCCATTGTATGTCAACTGTAGAGGCCAGCATGTGCATGTTAGTTTGTATATTTTGTACATATGTGTGAATGTAAAAATATGTGTGTGTATATCAGTGTGTCTCTGAATATGAAAATAAGCAAGTGTCAAGTTGAGAGAGCTGCATATGTGTTTATGATATAAATCCAATAGCATGTATCATGCAGCTATAAATGTATTTATATATGTTGAAACATATATTCAGGTATTAGCATACATACTCATCAATATATTAATATATAATTAATGTATAATATATTAATAAATATGTATGTTAAAAATGAGTATGTGTAAATAGGTGATTGTATAATGACTGTGTATATCGATATATTAGGTATCAGTTTATGTTATATTTATATACTATGTCAATGACTGATGTATGTCAGTGTTGCATACACACTGGCATTTGAGTGTGTCTGTGAGTACATGAGTGGGGATGTCACTGCATTTGGGTCAATATGTGTATCCGTGTACACAAGCATGTGCGTTAGTTGATGTGTCACTTTGCTAAAGTTTGTACGTGTGTGTATCAACATGAGGTATATTTATAAGTGAGTATGCCTGTACCTGAGTCTGCATGGTCTGTTTTGATCAAGGCTTGTGTGTATCAATGTGAGTGTGTGTTTATGCATAGTGTGCTTGGATGTATATATAAATGTTTATGTGTATCACATGGGGGCACATTAGTGTCTGGTGCTGTATAACTGTATATCTTTGCATATGTGTGTAAGTCATTGTTATGACTAGATCACTATACATAAGTTTGTTATTTCAATGCTTGTGTGTGTTTGTCAGTGTCACATGTAGCCAGGCATGTGTTTGGCCTGGCTACAAATTATTATAAATTATTTTATAAATTATTTTTTGTTAACGTATATACATGTATATATCTATGTGTATGTCACTTTGTGTAAACGTATATGTGTATATCTATACTTGTGACTGTGTATGCCCATGTTTGGATATGTGTATACATATTGTGTACACATCTACTCAGCACTAAGTACCGTTGCCCTCTTTGCTCCATTCATTGCTTCATCACCATGAATTCCTGGAAACGTGAGGTCATAATAAGGTCCACTTTTTGCAAAAGGGCTTCTGTTACAATCAAGTAGACCTGCATTGTGTGTAGTAAGTATGGGCTCCCCTTTTAAAAACAAACACCAGAGATTGGTTCAAGATGGCAGAGTAGAAGGACATGCTCTCAATCTCTCTTGCGAGAACACCAGAATCACAACTAACTGCTGAACAGTCATCAACAGGAAGACACTGGAACTCACCAAAAAAGATACCCCACATCCAAAGACAAAGGAGAAGCCACAATGAGATGGTAGGAGGGGCACAATCACAATAAAATCAAATCCCGTAACTGCTGGGTGGGTGACTCAAACTAGAGAACACATACCACAGAAGTCCACCCACTGGAGTGAAGGTTCTGAGCCCCACGTTAGCCTTCCGAACCTGCAGGTCCAAAACGGGAGAAGGAATTCCTAGAGAATCAGACTTTGAAGGCTAGTGGGATTTGACTGCAGGACTTCGACAGGACTGGGGGAAACAGAGACTCCAGTCTTGGAGGGCACACACAAAGTAGTGTGTGCATGGGGGACCAGGGGAAGGAGCAGTGACCCCATGGGAGACTGAACCAGACCTACCTGCTAGTGTTGGAGGGTCTCCTGCAGAGGCAGGGGGTGGCTCTGTCTCACCGTGAGGACAAGGACACTGGCAGCAAAAGTTCTGGGAAGTACTCCTTGGCGAGAGCTCTCCCAGAGTCCGCCATTAGCCCCATCAAAGAGCCTGGGTAGGCTCCAGTGTTGGGTTGCCCCAGGCCAAACAACCAACAGGGAGCGAACCCAGCCCCACCCATCAGCATTCAAGCAGATTAGAGTTTTACTGAGCTCTGCCCACCAGAGCAACAGTCAGCTCTACCCACCACCAGTCCCTCCCATCAGGAAACTTGCACAAGCCTCTTAGATAGCCTCATCCACCAGAGGGCAGACAGCAGAAGCAAGAAGAACTACAATCCTGCAGCCTGTGGAACAAAAACCACATTCAAAGAAAGAGAGACAAGATGAAAAGGCAGAGGGCTATGCACCAGCTGAAGGAACAAGATAAAGCCCCAGAAAAACAACTAAATGAAGTGCAGATAGGCAACCTTCCAGAAAAAGAATTCAGAATAATGATAGTGAAGATGATCCAGGACCCTGGAAAAAGAATGGAGGCAAAGATCGAGAAGACGCAACAAATGTCTAACAAACCTAGAAGAATTAAAGAACAAACAGAGGTGAACAGTACAATAAGTGAAATGAAAAATACACTAGAAGGAATCAATAGCAGAATAACTGAAGCAAAAGAACGGATAAGTGACCTGGAAGACAGAATGGTGGGATTCACGGCTGAGGAACAGAATAAAGAAAAAAGAATGAAAAGAAATGAAGACAGCCTAAGAGACCTCTGGGACAACATTAAACGCAACACCATTCACATTATAGGGGTCCCAGAAGGAAGAGAGAGAGAGAAAGGACCCGAGAAAATATTTGAAGAGATTATAGTCGAAAACTTCCCTAACATGGGAAAGGAAATAGCCACCCAACTCCAGGAAGCGCAGAGAGTCCCATACAGGATAAACCCAAGGAGAAACATACCAAGACACATAGTAATCAAATTAGCAAAAATTAAAGACAAAGAAAAATTGTTGAAAGCAGCAAGGGAAAAACGACAACATACAAGGGAACTCCCAGAAGGTTAACAGCTGATTTCTCAGCAGAAACTCCACAAGCCAGAAGGGAGTGAGTGGCATGATATACTTAAAGTGATGAAAGGGAAGAACCTACAAGCAAGATTACTCTACCCGGCAAGGATCTCATTCAGATTCGATGGAGAAATCAAAAGCTTTACAGACAAGCAAAAGCTAAGAGAATTCAGCACCACCAAACCAGCTCTACAACAAATGCTAAAGGAACTTCTCTAAGTGGGAAACACAAGAGAAGAAAAGGACCTACAAAAACAAACCCAAAACAATTAAGAAAATGGTCAGAGGAACATACGTATCGATAATTACCTTAAACGTGAATGGATTAAATGCTCCAACCAAAAGACACAGACTTGCTGAATGGATACAAAAACAAAACCCATATATATGCTGTCTAAAAGAAACCCACCTCAGACCTAGGGAGACAAAAGACCTGTATGCAGAAAACTATAAGACACTGATGAAATAAATTAAAGATGATGCCAACAGATGGAGAGATATACCATGTTCCTGGATTGGAAGAATCAATATTGTGAACATGACTATACTACGCAAAGCAATCTACAGATTCAATGCAATCCCTGTCAAATTACCAATGGCATTTTTTACAGAACTAGAACAAAAAATCTTAAAATTTGTATGGAGACACAAAAGACCCCGAATAGCCAAAGCAGTCTTGAGGGAAAAAAGCAGAGCTGCAGGAATCAGACTCCCTGGCTTCAGACTATACTACAGAGGTACAGTAATCAAGGCAACATGGTACTGGCACAAAAACAGAAATATAGGTCAATGGAACAAGATAGAAAGCCCAGAGATAAACCCACGCACCTATGGTCAACTAATCTATGACAAAGGAGGCAAGGATATACAATGGAGAAAAGACAGTCTCTTCAGTAAGTGGTGCTGGGAAAACTGGACAGCTACACTAGTAAAGAATTAAATTAGAACACTCCCTAACACAATACACAGAAATAAACTCAAAATGGGTTAGAGAGCTAAATGTAAGACTGGACACTATAAAACTCTTAAAGGAAAAGATAGGAAGAACACTCTTTGACATAAATCAGAGCAACATCTTTTTTGATCCCCCTCCTAGAGTAATGGAAATAAAAACAAAAATAAACAAATGGGACCTAATGAAACTTCAAAGCTTTTGCACAGCAAAGGAAACCATAAACAAGATGAAAAGACAACCCTCAGAATGGGAGAAAATATTTGCAAATGAATCAACAGACAAAGGCTTAATCTCCAAAGTATATAAACAGCTCATGCAGCTCAATGTTTAAAAAACAAACAGCCCAATCAAAAAATGGGCAGAAGACCTAAATAGATGTTTCTCCAAAGAAGACATACATATGGCCAAGAAGCACATGAAAAGTTGCTCAACATCACTAATTATTAGAGAAATGCAAATCAAAACTACAATGAGGTATCACCTCAGACCAGTTAGAATGGGCATCATCAGAAAATCTACAAAGGACAAATGCTGGAGAGGGTGTGGAGAAAATGGAACCCTCTTGCACTGTTGGTGGGAATATAAATTGATACAGCCACTGTGGAGAACACTATGGAAGGTTCCTTAAAAAACTAAAAATAAAATTACCATATGACCCAGCAATCCCACTACTGGGCATATACCGAGAGAAAACCATAATTCAAAAAGACACATGCACTCCAAAGTTCATTGCAGCACTATTTACAATAGCCAGGTCATGGAAGCAACCTAAATGCCCATCAACAGACAAATGGATAAAGAAGATGTGGTACATATATACAATGGAATATTACTCAGCCATAAAAAGGAACAAAATTGGATCATTTGTAGAGACGTGGATGGGTCTAGAGACTGTAATACAGAGTGAAGTAAGTCAGAAAGAGAAAAACAAATATCGTGTATTAAAGCATATATGTGGAACCTAGAAAAATGGTACAGATGAACCAGTTTGCAGGGCAGAAAGTGAGACACAGATGTAGAGAACAAACGTATGGACACCAAGCGGGGAAAGTGGCAGGGGATGGGGGTGGTGATGTGATGAATTAGGAGATTGGGATTGACCTGTATACACTGATGTGTATAAAATGGATGACTAATAAGAACCTGCTATATAAAAAAATAAATTAAATAAATTTCAAAAAAATAGAATAACAAGAAAACCCCCCAAGACCCCGAAATGGAGTTGGCCACCCCCAACTGAACCCAAGACTCTTTGGAGAATATTTTGTAACTGGTTTTCCCTTCCTCAGTGGCTACGCTCATCACTCCAAAGGCATCTGGGGTCAGAAATGATGTTTCTGGTTATAATATGAGCCTAGGAACACAACAAGAAATATTTGACTCCTTTGCACTGAAGCCAAATATCCTGTTCCAATATCAGCTACTCCAGGCTTCTAGGACTGTGAGAGTGACTTGTCATGTGCTCTAATGCCTACCCCAAACCAGCCTGCCAGGTGTAATTTGGGATATTTACACAAAAAACAAAAGGATTCCATATGTGACAGTGGTGTGCAAGTGTAATTGCGTTGAACTTTATGCTACCCAACAGCCTGGGTAATCTCTTAGACAACAGGCTAGGGCAACTACAGTCTTTGGTGGTTGTGGACTCGCTCTTCTTCATATCCTCTTTCTTCAATGTTGGACACTGGGCAATGTGGGGCACACAAGTCCATTACAAGCCAGCAAAGAACATTGCAAAGGATCTTGCTTATAAGCCCATATCTTTGTTAAGATAAACATAGCGAGATTTTTTGCTGTAGGTACCTGAAATTAGGAGAGGGCATTCTGAGCCTCTGTGATAGTGTCATTGGGAGCTACCTGAGCATTGAACTTACTGTGACTGTGAGCTTAGGCCTGTGTTCTCTAGAATATCATAATATTTATATTTTGGGCCTCTTTGACAATAGTTCTCTTACTATCTCTGAACCAGAGTCCTCAGATTCAGCACTGGGCTCTGGGAATGTGAAAGGGTAGACTCAGAGGCTACGTCTATACCTTAGACGAGTCTTGCTTCTCAGTATCCTTGATCACAATAATTTCTTCTTCTTCCAGATTCTCCAGGTTTAAGTCACCTTCTGAATTGGAACCAGCAGCATCCTATGGAATTAAAGGGCAGGATTCTTGTGAAAAGTTGCTTTTTGAGACTTCTCCAAGCTGACCCGCTAGGCTACTACTTCAAAGCATGAATGTCATGTCTCCTATTATCCCCCTTCTTTCTGAAGGAAAGGTAGGCTTGTAAGGCTAGCTAGTCTTTGAAGAATGAGATAAAGCTCCCTCTACAAATTACTACTCCCTCCCACCCCACTGAAGGTATTCACAAAGCCATCAGTCTCAGGAACCATATTCCATTAAACATCAACTTTTTGGACAGGGTTTCCCCCCTGCCCCGCTTTTCTGACATGCTATCTTCCATGCTTTCATTCTTTTAGCCCTACCAGCAACTTAAGTGGCTTATAAAATGAGATGTGGTATCAAGAATGACAGTAAATTCCAAACCAGGGATCATGGTCTCATGAGAATGATGGCTTCCCACCTGAGTCCCCGTCACCTTTCCACCCTGTGCCACAACCTTTCCCTTTCCTCATGCTGAAACTGTTAACCCTTCTCAGCGTCCTCCCACCCATTCCAACTCTGAGGGAAGCAGAGAGTACCCACCTTAGAATCTTCATCTTCCATGTTCAGGGTGGACACATCAGCACAGCATATCTGCATCAAATTAAGATGAATTTAGAAAAATTCTAGAGAAAAGGCCTTAATTTCTCTGGGAGATGATAGTAGCACCTACCTTATCGGGTTCTTGTGAGGATTGATTGAGATAGTGCGTGTAAAGCTTTTAGTAGAGCACCTAGACATAGTTAAGTACTCAATAAACAAGAGACAAATGATTTTTATTAGGCAGACAGAATCTTTTTTAAATTTTTGAATTTTATTTTATTTATTTTTTATACATCAGGTTCTTATTAGTCATCAATTTTATACACATCAGTGTATACATGTCAATCCCTATTGCCCAATTCAGCACACCACCATCCCCACCCCCCCGCGGCTTTCCCCCCTTGGTGTCCATACGTTTGTTCTCTACATCTGTGTCTCAACTTCTAGGCAGACAGAATCTTAATGTCACTATATTTCCTAAATGAGAATACCTACCTGTGAGAGAAAGAGGCCCAAAATACAATATCCACATTTATTGAGAAAACTGAGAAGAGAGATGGCTTGCCCTACTGACACAGACTCAAAAGTGGAACTCCTGTTAGAACTCGATTCCCCTGGCTCCCAGTTTGGAGCACTTTCTACTACACTAATGTTGCCAAAATGTGGTGTTTTTACTATTGATGACATAGAAGATTTTAAGTGGTACATGGATAAACATTTCTGTGTTTAATAGGTGCTTTTTATTGTTATTCATTAGGAAAAATACATATTTTGCCCTCCTGAAGGAGTCCAGCTTTAGGGTAACTTACTGGTAGCTAGGCGACATTATTATGACTTCAGAGGTGTGAGATAATAGAGGCTGGTAACTAGGCAACCACACCCCTGGCTCCCCTCAGGCTGCCCCACCAGCCTCCCCTCCTCAGCTCCTTCACATCACTCCTCATCTTGCCCCTCCCTTGAATTGTCCCTGTGTGATGTATGAGCACATTGGTCCCCCACAGACCTTACTGAGCTTGATTCCTTGGAGAAGTCACAGTACCACTATCCATTAGTCTATCCTGGGCTCCAGGATATATATACCCAAATGCCAAGCCTTTCTTTGTAGGAGTCATTTTGTATATTACCACTTTCTGGTCCTGATCTTGCTGTCCTGTTGGGCTGTAGAGATCTACCTTGCACATGCCCCTGTGGCTGTGTGACCAGTCAATATTATTATCAGACATCTGGAAAGAGAAAGAAAATAAATCTGAAAGTCTTATATATGACTTTTAGAAACTGAATCAGTTTGAATAAGAATCCCTGAAGGGGTTTCTGAAACCCATCTCTGTTTCACATAGGTTTAGGCTAGGAACTGGTGGGGTAAGCCATGGGGGAAGGACACTCTGAAATGTTTGAACCTGATGATCAATATCATTATCTTTTAGCTCAATCCATAGTCTTCTTTAATTTAGATTCCCCAAACCAGGTATTTGAAACCATGGGAGTATCATATTGACTTGGGAAAATGTCAGTCAGGAAAAATAACAGGCTGGGAAGTAAATTTAAAAGGAGGTCTAGAGACTGTGGGGTTAAATTTAGTGATTTACTTCTCCCCAACCTCATTAACTAAATCTCATCTGTATCCTCTTTTCTTTATCCACTCTTGGGTATCTTCAAAGAGTCAAGCTCACCTCATCCCCTTTAACTGAATTTTAGCTAAACCTAGTCTAACCCGAGTCTTTCTCATTACATTAAAGAAAGTGAAATTACTTATCACATAGGGCCACTAGGAAAGACTAAGGTCAATACCAGTAAAGTGAATAATTCTTTTTATTAAAACAACATATAGAAAAAGTTTCTGAATACTGGGAACACTCAGTCTAATAGCCATAAGTATAACTAAGAGACAAATGTCTGCGGGAAGACCAGACCCTGATCCCATAGGACAAAGTTTATTTGAAAGAGAGAATAATCTCTGCCAACTTCCTTCAACCCCCCTACCACCTCCCACCCCAGCCTGGAACTAAAAGTAAAAAGGAAATGGCAGAAGCCACTGACTGATTTTCCCTATGTAAGACACATTTGGGAAGATACAGTTAAGAGCTCAGTAGAATTGTTTTGGTATCTGGGGTTGAATTTGATTTATCTTTAAAATTTAACAAGAGAAACCTTTTGGGCCAAGTATTAGAGGGCAGTTAAATTCCTTTCCCTTCGCTTCCTTCAAAAATTAGACCCCTTTAACCCCTAGCTCCCTCCCTCCCTCCCCCTTCTTTCCACTTTCTCCCCCCTTCTCTCCCTCAGCCCTTCCTTCCCTCTCTCTCCCTCCCTCCATTCTCCCTCCCTCCATTCTCTCTCCTTCCCTCTCTCTCCCTCCCTTCCTCTCTCCCTCCCTCCCTCTGCCTCTCTCACTCTCAACATTTTAGTAACAACTATCCTCTGATGGCTAGCCTTTCACAGGATACTACTACATTTTGACACTTTACCATTCCCCCTACCCGCCTCCATCTCATTTCCCCAGATCTTCTTGGACTCTCCCTTCAAAAATCTCTAGAAATCCCTGAAAAAGTTTTGGGAAGAGGTTTTCCACATCCTCAGAAGAGGGAGTTTCTTTTTTTCAAGAGCTAGAGATCACTAGCCTAGAGAAAAAGAGGGGGAGGCATAGAGGTCCCTCATGTGATTTGGATATAGCCTCAGTCCAAATCCTAAAAAAAAACTGTAAAAAATAAAATTTATGAACTTATTACCTTGATAATGATGTTATTTTAGACTTTGGCTGAAAATGTGCCACCTAGAAGGGAGATGTGCCCCTTGAGATGGAAGTGGGCAATGCCAAGTTCTTGGGTACCTGCTGCTGGCTGCCACCCCATCAGCTGCTGGATGAGACTGAAGGAGCCACGCTCTCCTAGCTGCTTCTGACCCTGGCACATGATGACAGGTTTTGTTGGGTCATAATGCCTGAAACTGTAGCAACCTTAGCAAAGGGGGGCAGGCTGGCAAACTCAGTAGCCCTTCTCATCAAAAGCACATCAGGCTGTCTGCTGTACCTTTTTTCTGTTCTGTCTAGAAGGGTACACATATTTCGTTTACATTTTGTCCAGCTCACAACTCCTTAAAACCTCCCTTCTCATTACTCTTCAGGCTAGACTTCCAGAACAATCTAGTCATATTAGGTGCCAGTGGAGGTCTGTATTTTTCATATACAGAATGACCACCAGCCTCTGTGAATAAAACAGTATTAAGTTTCACATCTTAGCTTATTTCTCTTTGGGTTTCCCTCTAGATATTTAGAGTTATGTGGCAAGAGATCTTTGGATTTATGTAGAAACAGAGAAATGTTAAAGTCCTTTCTGGGTACCCTGAATAAAAATATGAAAGTAGAAAGTTTGAGGCTGCCTTTGCAGCTTCTGTAGTTTCACCTCATCCTCAAGACACCCCCTTGGCTAGTCAAATAGAAGTCAGAAGATGCCCCTACCTTTGTAGTATCAGAGTAGGCTATTTTGTAGGAACTTGGAATGATTTTTTCTTCTAAATTTGGATGCTGTGATGACCCTTCCAGTCTGACTCAAGATGTTGCTACTTTCCTCAACCCTCCAAACTACCCTAAAGCCTTGACTGCCAGTTGGTACCAGAACTTCTACTTCATGACATCATTCTTTCTGTAGAGAACAGTGACAGCACAAACACAGGGGCTCTATCCTTAGGATTCTGGGTGTCTAAGTGGTCCAGCAAGCTTTAACCTTTATCATGAGACATAATTAGCCCTCCCAAAAGCCAGTCCACTTAGGTCAGGGTCAGCCTTTCACAGACTCCTCAAGCCATGAAAAGACCTGAGCCCCACTTATTCTTTTACATTATGGTCAGTGCTAGATGGCTGGTTACAGTATTCCTTAAAGCATTATCCATTACACTTTGAGATGCCTTCAGTTTAGCCCCAGTTTGGAAATATTAGGCCATAACCAAATGCTCTCATTGTGCCCAAGTCTCATCTTGTTTTCTCCTTGTCCTTTCTTCACCTGCCTTCACGTTAACCTTGTATGAATAATTGTATCTGAATTAAAAATCAGTTGAGATTACCACCTAAATCATAGAGTTTCATATCCTTGGTTCTACTTCCATTTCTTCTTTTATCTGTTACCCTAAAATTACATGTCTTAACCCTCCTGTACAATTTTGACCTTGTCAATTCATGGCATCAGAGACAAACAGAGCTGGACCTTTGTCAAAGGTGGCAAGACCTATTTTATTCAGGCTACTGAAGTAAGGGAGAGACTTCAGATGAACAGAATTCAACTCCACTGAAACAAAAGCCTTTTTAAATGCTGGGGATTGCTAAAGGAAAAGTGCTGAGGGAAATTTTGGGGTGGGAGGTTGATCAATGTGATCAGGGCATCTGTGTTTGCTAAATGGTACTAACTAACTGTGTTTGCTAACCTAACAAAGTTAGGTTCCTACCCTTTCATAGAGACTGAGAGATAGGGGCCCTATCTTTCTTGATGATTACATTTCAAAGGGATGACTCCCAGGTCTCTGAGAAAGATTTTCCTGGGTTGTAGAAGATACATCTCAAAAGGACAGAGAAAGGATTTACAATCACAAGTTTTCTAAAGTAAATGTTCTGAGAAAAGGGAGGTCAGGGGGCTATAGTCAGGTTTTGGCTGGAATAAACAGTAAATTCTTTTGGCACTTTTGAACTTTCTCAGGCAGGCATTTTAAAGAGGCTGGGGTCATCATCCTAGGGACATGGCCTTGAGGTGACAGAAACTATGCTGGTGTTTGTTCAAGTCTCTTAATGTAGGGAGTGGATGGAATTGTGCTGAAAGTTGTAGTTCTTATAAGGCCAAGGTTGAGGCCTAGTTGAGAAGGCAGCTCAGAGGAGCCTGACTATATCAAATCATCATGTTGTACACCTTAAATATATACAATTTTTTTAAAAAAATAAGTTTGGGTCAAGGAGGGAGGCTTTGTCAGTGGTGATGAGTTAGAATACATAATACAGGACCTGCTTTTCCTATACCACCCATTTGTCAAGGGGAACTTTTGATGATTAAAGAAAAAGTTGGAGCTCCTGTGTCTGGCTCATGTCTGTGGAATCAGAAGCAAATAAAGAAAATGTTTATTTATTCTTCAATCACAAGAATGTATACCCCTAAGATAAAAACAAATAGACAACAACCACCAAAAACCCAAAAACCTCTGTCTCCCAGCCCAGAAGGGAACAACTGTGATCCTGGCCTGGAAAATGTCTTACCATATACCCTAACTGACAAAGAGAGAACTATTATGGATGATTAGAGGCTTGTCCCTTGGCACCCCAATCCTGTCATCTTGAAGGCTAACCAGGAGCAAACAAGAGCAGCATTTGAATTGGATGGGAAACCAATAATGAAATGTAAGGAGGTTTAGTCATAGATTACAGTGTATCCACTGCCTCTTCTTTCTCCTGCCGAAGC